GCATGAAGACAAATTTCTTGTTGGGAAATGTTGTACCCCTTAACTGATTTGCGAGAAACGATGGTTGAAAAAAAAACGATGGAAGTCCTCTGCAAAGCTAAACCGCACTACAAATTTCTCCAAAGCACTTGTACATTTCCTCAATGTGTGAGGCCGTGGACTAATATAGTTCGGCCTTTATGAGGGGTTTTACCTTGCTGATGAGAGCCAAAAATTCACTTGCGAAAGAATCACAATCACCTGTATCACCTGTGCTCCCGTTGATCATCGAGTTCCTCGAGCGGGCGCCAGTAACGTCTCCATTCGTCCCTGCAACGTGCAAGAGTTGCCCAATGAACTCTCTCTGCTCGAGGGACACGATGAACTTCATACCATTCGTTCAGAGCTTTCACGAAGAAGTCTGACCATCGCATAGGCGGTCGTCCAGGCGTTCGCTTGACATCCCGTGGAATCCAGTCGGTGATCGCTCTGGTCCAGCGGTCGTCCTCGAAACGCATGACGTGTCCGGCACCTGATCTTCGAAACCTTGGCAAATGCGGCGGCGTCTCTGATCTTCGATCGTCGGCGGAGTGCGGAGCTCCGGATTCCCTCTCTCACTTGCGTGTAGCGGGAAACTCCGAGCATCGCCCTTTCGATGGCGCGTTGAATAACGCCGACCGCATGCTCATCCTGCTTTCGTAGAGTCCAAGTCTCTGAGGCGTACGTCAAGGCAGGAAGGACCGCGGAATCGAAGAGGGGCACGGAGCTTGGTGTTCTTCGTCTTCTTCGCTACTCCCTCGATGTTCTTGAAGGCTCCCAAGCCGCTCGCTTCCTCCTGCTCAGCTCTGGAGCTAAGTCATTCATCATATTGATTTCACGACCTAGGTACACATAGCTAGAGCATTCAGAGATGGTCGTTCCGTTGAGCGTGAATGGGGCATCAGATACCAATCCGTTTCTCATGAACATCGTCTTCGTTAGATTCAGCCGTAGACCGATTTTCCACACGCGCAGTCGAATTCAGCCAGCATTCGTTCCGCTTGCTCGATGTTTGGTGTTATCAAAACGATGTCGTCAGCAAAGCGGAGATGGTGTAGTTGCCGACCGTCGATCTTCACTCCCATGTCTTCCCATTCCAGTTGACGCATGACGTTCTCGAGAGAGGCGCTGAAGAGCTTGGGCGAGATGGTGTCGCCCTGTCGGACCCCTCTCTTCACATCGATGATGATCTCCTTGTAGAATGGTGAGATCTTGGTCGTGAAGTTGCTGTAGAGCTCACGAAGAATCCTGATGTACTGAGTGGAGAATTCCCTGGTTGCCCAGGGCTTCGATAACCGCTTCTGTCTCAATGGAGTCGAAGCTTTCTCGAAGTCGATAAACGAGACATAGCGGCATCTTGTACTCTCGCGATACTTCAATGAGCTTCGTTACCGTGTGGATGTGATCGATCGTGCTGAATCCTCTTCGAAACCCTGCTTGCTCGCATGGCTGTCCTTCGTCTAGTGTTCTGCCAATCCTGTTCAGGATGACTCGTGTGAAGAGTTTGTAGACTACAGACAGCAGGCAGATTGGGCGATAATTGCCAATGTCGTACAGGTCTCCCTTCTTGTACAGCAACACAGTCTTGCTGGTTTTCCACGAGGTGGGTACCTTGCATTCCGACAGGTAGCGCGTGAAGAGTCGAGCCAGAGTTTTGACAAGAACTGGCGGAAGATTCTTCAGATGTTCGGGTCTGATCCTGTCGGGACCGGGTGCCTTTACCGACGAGATGGCGTGTCGGACTTCGGAAGGGAGAACTGCAGGAACGACATATCCATCCTGCTCCAAGCGGTATGGTTGCAGGTGGACGTGGCTGTCAAAGAGATCCGAGTAGAAGTCGTGGATGACCTTCTCCATTGCCCTTCTGGATGCGGTGATTGTTCCATCCGGACGTCGGAGGGCGGTCATCTTGGTCTTACAGTTGGCGAAGTCGCGGCGGGCGTTGCGTATGCTCTTCCCAGCCTCTGCGGCTTCCACCAGTACTGCTGCTCTTCTCTCCTTGAGGTCTTCCTTTATCGCTTCTCTGCATAGCTTCGCAAGCTCAGACGTCAGCTGGTAATTGCTCGTGCGGCTCCACGTTGGCGAATCAGCTCGAGAGTTTCCAGAGATAGACGCTTCTTGGTAATCTTGGAACTCTGACTTCTTGGCGCAGTCGTGAAGATGTGCGACAAGCCGTTCGTATTCTCGTCGATGTTGTCGATGACGGAATCCTCCCAGAGCCCAGCGAGAGAAGTGAAGTGATCCCAGTTGATGACGGTCTTGGGGCTTCGCTTCTTGAACTTTGCGGCTCTTTCTCCTCGCATCGTGAAGCGGAATCTTGCGCAAAGGTAGACGGTGGTCGGATCCTGTGTGAAACTTAGGAGCAACAGCGACATCGGTCAGGCAAAACCTCCGATTGAAGATGATGTGGTCGATCTCGTTATGGAATTGTCCACCAGGAGACTCCCATGTCCAGCGTAGAGAGTAGGGCTTCTGGAACTGCGAGTTACCATGTATGGGTCGACATGATAAACTCAGACAGCCTTTCACCCTGCTCATTCCACTCCGTTCCGTGAGTTCCGATGTGAAGTTCTTCAGCCGTTCTTCTTGGTCCGATCTTAGCGTTGAAATCACCGACGATGACCTTGAAGAAGGTATGATCTCTTGCTGAGTCAGACCACTCCAGCCGTTTTTCTGCTGAATTCGAGGCTCTCATTGCTTCAGAGTTTCGGATTTTGGGGTACGTTCTATGGTTTTGCGAAGGGGTGTAGATTCAAACAATTGCTGCATACTTGGGCATGAACGTTGAGTGTAAAGGGGATCACCGATTTGAAGTAAAATGGCGAATGAATAGTTATCTGTCTGCGATTCTATCTCATACCTTAGTCTTCTCTATTATGTCGCCAGCGCCTGACGTCTCAATTACGAAGTCCATCCAATCTTGCTGGTCTCGGTTATCCAGTACTCCTGTGAGGTTCAGCAGATTCGGTAATGATGTCAGTTTCTCTATACCATCTCCTTGATTGTGAAGGGAAAAAAGCGACGGTGAGAACACGTTGACCTGAAAAAGTATGCCAGGTTACGGCGCTGTTTGTCGACGGGGGGGCATTTTGTACTACCATTGCTTCCCTAGTTCCGGTTTACAAATCTCACTCTGGTAAAACTTGTGAACTCTTGTGAAGCTGAAGTAAGATCGTCTAGCCACTATCCTAAAACGTGTCAACTCGAGAAACGGCTGCCTAGATGGGTCGACACATCTATGGAAAGCAAAATGCCCTCCCCCCGCCGACAAACTGTGCCCCGGTTACTTCTGCTCGTACGTTCACTTCACCAATCGTTTTAACAGTGAGGTGAACATACAGGGGAAGAGATTGCAAAGACGACGCGACGAAGATAAGGCGAAGGCGCGACCAAGAAGTGGATTGCAGGGCGACAAAAAGATATTAGAGGTACAGCAAAACTGGGTAGGTCATCGGCGAGACGCGAGCAGTGTAGGGAAAGTGGAAGCTGTAGGGCAACGCAGGGGTGAGAGTAAGAAATGCAAAATGGAAGCTTTATGAACACTAAAAGGCAAGTGGCAAAGCAATATAATTCACACATTCGAAAGCAAGCTTTGGAGTGGTCACCTCGTTTGCGTTCGTGCTCACGTTCTCCGGTACCAGACTCATAATCCTAGGGCTAATCATCTTTACTGTCCTATCTTCGAACTCGGATGTATTTTGGCCGGCTAACATCATAGCTAGCTTGGCTCCTGAACATATGCTGGAAGCAGTGACATATGAGAGCGAATGAGAATATGTGTGCATTCGTTTGACTGATGAAATAAATCGAGTGAATGGTAATGCAAGAGCAGGTCGCATATCAGCTCCGCTTTCATCACCTTACGCACCTTCCCTAACTAGTTTGATTGGTCCGTAAATTGCTTGATCAATACGTGATGAGGACTTATCACGGTTCCCATATTCTTTCTTCAAGAGATCCATTTGACTGTAGTGTTTGTACTTCAGCACCTTCTCAAGGTCATGGAGTTTCTGAAGGCAAAAATAAAATAAAAATCAAACTAAATAACGCTTAGTTCCAAAGTATGAACGGTATATTGAACAGTTACTAAGTTTTGAAGAAGTTATCTGGGTTGAAGATTACTTACTGACAACTTCCTCTTTCCTTTCTTCTTCGACAATGTCTCCTCAAAATCAGCAGCAGCTTTTTTGTAAAAGTTCAAACGTTTTTTCAATCTCTCTTCGGCTTCACGTCTTTCGTGCTCCTCGTCAGCATAGCGTTTGATATCCGATATAACTGCTTGCCAGCTGAACTATTTAAATATTCGAAACCGTTGCAAAACAAGTCCGAATCTACTACAGATTTGCACTGATTGACCAAAAATCAGCTCAACAGAGCACCAAAAAATCGCAACAGTTACCACCACTATCTGATACAGGTAGTGCTTTCCGTTATCATGCAAAGTCATTATTGAATTTCACCTACCTACCTACCTAGTTTGCAGAGTTTTTTCTCCTTCGATGTCTCAATGTGAAAGCCACCTTGGGTGAAAGAAACATCAAACCAGATGAGCGAGGACGAGTAAATCTCACCCTGAGCTTTCGCCCCGCCATAGCACATCTCTTTTGCCTACGCACCAGCGAGAAGTTTTACATCAGATATAACACTACGAGCATATAGTGGCCCACAAGGGTGCTCAGTGGAATGATTTTTCATGCACACGGTTTTCCGATTTTCTTTTCCGATCTTCTTTCCCGAACCGACTTATTTCAGATACATTGTACCATTTGACTATGTCAAGAATTAGGAGCGTTTCTATTTGAATGATGTACGGGGCACTTAGCTTTTCCATTCTCAAAGCTGTTTGCAGTGTTTGCAGGACTACAATAATGCTTAGGATTTTTTTGGCAGTTAAGGGGATTCTTGGACATCGTGTCCGGATGCCAGTGCGGAATACTACTGATGTCATGATGTAAGGGAGAACTGGCGCCCCAGCCCAAATATCAAACGGTAGAAGCAACATCCCCCCCATCGACTGGAAAAATTTCGTCTTGTATGGAACTGTTATCAAGAAAGTAACGGTTACTAAGGCTGCGATAAAGTTGTGTTGTTCAATGATAAGGTCAGAACAATTTTTTTAGCATGAGCCTTATTGTAGCCTTGCATGCTGTGCTACTAGTGATTGCAGAACAAAGTAGAAAGCACCTTATTGACTCTGATCATCACGCTCTAAACAGTACTGGCGGGCGCCTTCTTTCGAACCATGATGTGCCCACCATATCAACTGCTCACCCTCTCCACCTGACGTAGGCTGATCGACGATCGTGCTAGGTCATCCGCATTTACGCGTAATTAGCTGCAGATCTGATACAGATACAAGTGACCGATGAAATGCCTCTGTGCCTCTGATGGCCACGTCTGCATTCGCCAGAGACGCGTGACCTGCTAAAACGTTTTCAGGTTGCAAGACAGCGACAGACTATCAGGTACCGCGAGCGTTCCCTGCAGCGTAATAGGACGGTTCTGTGTGCACATCGCTTAGGGAAGCTGCATTGCGATTTTGGCATGTGAGTCATTCCTTATCGTTGAGTGTTCCCTGGGTACCTTTTTTGAAAGCAAGCGAAACAGCAATTCAGTTCGCAAGGCAAGATGCGTTTTGGCTCCACTCAGATAGCCAGCGATGCAAGTGCAACGATGCAGAAGTTCCTGGTTCTCTGCTTACCGTAATCCTGACTGTTCTCGCAGTCTAGATTCTGTCACTAATTCCAATGTTCTCGCAAGCTAGATTCTGTCACTAATTTTGTTCCAGTATCTTTGTTTTCCCTTTTTTCTGGTACTGGATAGCATTCAGAAGTGGACGATGAGAGGAAAGCGTTGTGCACTGGCCGGAGAGTGTCAGGTTCCCAGAAGTCGGAAAATTCGTAAAATTGTTGAGTGACTGTCACGGAGAGGTTTTTATATGGTGCTCCTGAGAAAGCTTCTATTTATTTCTCCGCTTGAAAGTCATTACTCGGAAACTGGTTCCTTGTTGAGCACACGGGAAGACGCCGTGAGCTTAAGAAATTCTAAATGTTATCGAATGCTATGACGAAAGTGGCTGTGAAAGTCCTATGTAATAGGATCGATAACGATGAGTACCACTAACAACGATGAGTACTACTAACCACCACCAATATGTCACACTATCATGTCGTGTAAAAGTTCTTTTTTTGAATCGCTTTTTTTCAGAACCCCTGAAACTGCACACATTGTCATTTTCGCTGAATGTGAGCACCGTTGTGATTTCGAAAGCATTTGGAATCGCGCTTATCTCCCCTTCAGGTTTACAATATGTTAGAAGAAAACAGCGAATCGCTTTTTTTTCAGAACCGCTGAAACTTCACACATTGTCATTTTCGCTGAATGTGAGCACCGTCGTGATCCCATTCCATTGAGCAATTCTGGACATAGATGTACAAAGAGTACTTCTGAGCATGAGTGATTTGTTTTTGCAACTTACCTCCTAGAAGACTTTTGATTCTTGAAAGAGCGAACTGTTTTGGTAAGTTGCTTTGCAATTTGACCAAAAATCGATCTGAAATGTGTGAGGAATTATACTGATTTCAAACGACCTAACGATGTTTGTTCTCCTTCTGCTTACTAATAGAAAGAATGTCAACAGCTTCCCATGACACCTCCAAGGAAGGATATTAGCTGACGTTTCAATAATAAAATGCAGTGTTCGGAACAGGCATTGTAAAGTGAACGGCTTGATTGACATCGGAGCATTTTGCTGCACGTTGCTGCAACTATGTTACTTGCTGGGAGTGGCCACCCCCTGTATAGGAAAGCCAATGTTGTCCGGTATGGTAATCACTGAGGAGAAAGTAGCACCCAACAATCATCGGAAGCAGGCTGGATGGTGGACAAACTTCCAACGAGGAAGGTAGTTCAGAACTTGGTGCTCTTTTCAAAAACGGTTCTCTGCATATTGTAGGGGCTCATGCAAGGACCTGAAAAGTGTGCTTCATTTTCGCTGCGCGCTTCCAAAAAAGATAAAAAAAGGAGTGAAAAGAAGTCTGTGGAAACTACTCCGTTTTGAGATCTATGCGCTGTAAATCGCTTGAAACTTCTATCGGTGCTGAGGGGGTACTTATAAATGGACTGTCGAAATCGAAACTAAAAATCGTCGCGAATAAGGGTCCAACTTGTAATCGTATGCCCAAGAGTAAACGGTATCACATTATTTAAGCGCATGGTCACGGTGGGTTGGCTCATCCGTGACTGCGTGGTGAGTGGTTTGATTGAGGGAGCATTCGGTGTAGGTTGGATTGGTGTAGTAGGTATGCTGTCGTACAAACGACAAGCTGAAATTTTAGGTCTAACGAAGGTGCTAGGTACCGAAATATCGCAAACTAAGTTATTTCGAAGAGCTTCTGAGAGTGAGCCATCAGTGAGGTGAAAACTCACGCAGCGCGTGCCGAGCGATGTCGCTGCCATGGTACAGGGTGCAGCAAAGAGCAGAACAGTAACAGGAATGCAATGAATCACTGCGAATTCATAGATTAGCTCTTAATCAGTCTATGCTCGCCTTCAGTGGAATCAGTACATCTTCCAAAAAAAT